ATCGATATGCGATCATCGGATAACCGTCGCTTTTTGGAGGAAGAGCGACCACTACGTGCATAGATCTATACGGGATGGATTTTCCCCCATCCCGACTACTAGCTACAGTCCGAGCCTTTTGGCCCAGGGATGACAAATACTACTATATTATCGGTGACTTGGAGGGTCGGCCACAGTACGATCATCACTCAGTATAATCTCATGCGAGTTCACATTTAAACTTAAATTAAAAACACATCCCGAGGTGCATACAAAATTAACGCTAACCGGAGCTTACATTCACTATTATATTTAACCGGCAGGGGCGCTGCTGGAGTTAAACCCTATTCCTTATCTATAATGAACGAGTTTAAAACTGTATATTCATTTTTGACACTCTCACTAGAAGGCTATTACATTTACAAAGAAACGAACTTACAAATAACCTAGTTTTGGTGAAAACTACTTTTGCTGGAAAATATAGGATTTTCTATGAATCAAGCTACTTTCAAATTTTAATAACAGACATCTCACTACAAGATTTTAAATACTTTTATACAAGTAACGACACTAAATACTTATGAACTCACCAGCTTTACACTGATACTCGTTTTCAAAATAACCTGTATTCTCATGTCAAAAATAAACAGGTACTGATGCAACTTTTGGGGAGATGGAGCACATATAAGACTCATCTTTTATTTTGTTCATACTTTTGGTGTCTACTTAAATGTACAGAACACACATGCTAAATGATTAACTTTATGAAGTATTTTTATAAAGTTATGTTTATAAAGTATTTCATAAATATGTCAGCTTATGCGATGTAGTTTATGAAAGATAAAACATGCTAAATGATTAACTTCATGAAGTATTTTCATAAATATGTTCTATTATGGCAAGTAGTTTATGAAAGATAAAACATGCTAAGCATTCTGACTCATCAACTCGCCAAGTTATGACCCATCAATTCGAACACAACCCAATTGCTAGATGAAGAGATAAGTTAAAGCATTCTAGATGGTTATGTTTATAAAGTATTTCATAAATATGTTAGCTTACGACATGTATTTTATGAAAGATAAAGCATGCTAAATGTTTAACTTTATGAAGTATTTTCATAAATATGATATATCTTCTTTATTAGAAACTTTTAAGGTTTATGATTTGCCATGATATTAAAGACAAGATGAATGAATGTTCTTTAAAGTATGCCACTACAAGAAACAATGCCTATACAGACGACATTTTCAACTCCTTTGACGTCGACTTGTCGTCGGCAAAACCTATACCGATGACATGTCGTCCATACAAAGTCGTCGGAATAGCTCCGTCGGTAAAAGTGAAGAATGTTGTCAGTATAGATGTCGTCGGTACAGAGTAACCAATGCCGACGACTTATCGTCTACAAAACGTCGTCGGTAGTGATTTTCGAAGAAAAAAAATAAAGTTTTATTATATACCTATTCCGACAACAAGTCGTCGGTATAGGTGACAGGAAAAAAAATACTAACATGTTCTATGGTATGTGCTTGCAGGATTCCGGTGGTCAGCTTCAACTATGGACCTCCGATGATGGCTGGTGGACACCGGAAAAACACAATTTCAAAAAAAAAATTAGAAATTAAATTTGCTACCTGTTATGTGGGATGTGGTGGCCGGAAGGAGAAGGTGGATCGTCATAGGTGGCCCTCCGATCACTATGTTACCGGAAAATAACCAAATCAATCAAATCAATGAATAAAAAAATTTGAAATCAAAAAAGTTAGAAAGCTTGCCGGTTTTGTGAAATCCAGAAGGGGAAGGACCAGAAGCGTGATTCTTCGTTGGGAGGTGGAGGAACAAAGAAAACAGTCTGCAATGTCTATTGAGTTTTATTAGGCTATAACCCTATACCGACGACATGTCGTCGGCATAGAGTCGTCACACGGATCGCCATTTTTCATCCCAACAACATGTCGTCGGTATAGAGTCGTTACACGGATCGCTAAAATGTTTTTCGTTCCCGCCGCACCTGTACAGACCACATGTCGTCGGGATAGCTCTCCACCAAATGACATCATTAGTGATTCTTGCATTAAGGAAAATAAATAAATCAAATTCCAAAAATGTATAACATATACCGACGACAAATCGTCAACATAGGTTTTCAGTACACCGCCAAATGCTTTTAATTCCCGCTGCACCTATCGAGATGGCAAGTCGTCGGAATAGAGTCTTAGGTCAATGCTATTTGGTCAAAGTAAACATAACAGTATACCGATAATTTGTCGTCGGCACAGCAAAAATTTTTCCGACGACAGGTGTCGTCGGAATAGAGGCTTATTCTTGTAGTGTGCAAAGTATATGATTTGTAGGATATCCATATCATGGCACTTATGTGTTATTGAAATGATAAAAAAGTAGTGTTCAATCATACATAGCTTGGGATTGCTTTAGAGTCACGTTGAAATGGACTAGAACAAATGGTTCTCTTGTTCGAACAAAGGCACTACTAAGACCGGTACCTCATGTTTGCGAAGTAATAGCCAAGCCACAATAACGAGTTGATTCGCTCCTTGTTGGGATGGTAAATGTCTAGTGGTGAACTTAAGCAACTATGGTAATGACATTTGGCGGCCATGAATAGCGATAAAAATGGTACATAACCATTAATTAATGAGGATTGACGGTAGTAAACAACCACATGGCGGTACATAAGCACTCGCTTAAAGTAACATTGTATCGAAAAGGTCCGGTATCCTATCTTTTAAGTGTAATGACTCATTGTGTACATTGCACTCTACATATTACCATTAAGATAATGTTTTATCAAATGTGTTTCAAAAGCTTGTGAGTCTAAACCCCATATAAATTATGAGAAGTTTTCTTACGTAGTTTATTTTTAATTTCATGTACTCCATGTTTTATTCAACAGTATAAAAGACATGCATGCATGGTCGTTTGAAGATGATCACTTTTAGACGATTTGAAGATGAACCAAGTTTTTGTTTCTATTTACTTTTACAAAGGTTTATATAATGATATGAAAATGTAAAATCCAAATGATGCATATATTTTTTAGAAACAAATGTTTTTATTAGACAAATTTTTTGGTAAATCGAGACTTAAGCCATGTAAATGTTTTGAAAAAACATAGTAATAATGTTTTGAAAAGAGGACATTACGTAAAAAAAAACACGTAAATACATTGCAACTGAATTCTCACTGAGGAAAAATTATTTCTTTAAACACAAGACAGCAATCTAAGACACACCTAGATCTTTCACAAACTCTCAAATCTAATCTAAGAACTCTCATTAAAAAGCTCTCAATCTAATAGTCTCACAAAACTGCAAAATAATAATGATCCACTACATTATATAAATACTAACCTAACACGCAAAATAACCTCACATAAATAGGGTATCTTCACTATAGCACACAATGACATTTGCCAATATTTTATGCTACAAATGTTATGGCTATTTTTTATAAAGCTATTTCTTTTTACGACCCATGAAGACGAGACAAAGGCAACTCAACAACTTTTTAATAAAAGTAAATTTAATTATTACAAAAATCATAGTAAGTTTATGTATTCGTCGTTATATAAATATATTGAAGGCCTTGATATCCACCCCATGTTAACTAATAAAGAGTAGTTTCCTTTTTTTTATTTTTTATTTTTTTTTATTTTTTTATTTTTTAACTAATGTGTATACTAAACTAATCTTAATCGTAATTCCTGACTATAAATTTCACCTTTTTGAACTCAACAACTTTTTGCAGATATATTTTTCTTACAAATTAACATTTTGCTTTATATTATTGTATGTTACATACAATGATTTCTTACCTTTACTATATCGACATCATATTAACAATTAAGACATATTTAAACCTAATAGTAATTTTTAAAAGTATAACCACATAAATAGAATTACGTTAAAGTCTCAATAATTGATTTTGAAAGTAGCCATCTTTGATTAGAAGGAAGGAAAGCTCCACTATGGTTTGTTTGGAAGTACAAAATGATCGAATAAACAACTAAGTGTTCGATGGCGCCTTTTTCATTTCTAGAAAAAACCAACTACTTGCCTTTATAGCTACCCACATTAACTTGTTAATATATATATATATATATATATATATATATATATATATATATATATATATATATATATATATATATATATATATATATATATTATAACGTGGATTGTAACTATTGTGTGAATGTAAAGATCTTTTGTGGTCCAAGCATTTTTCCTAAATTAAAATATATTTAAAAATGGAAATTTTGGGATTTAAAGGGATAATTGATTTTTTAATTTTGAAAATTATGATTGTTTTTTAGTTAATTCAAATCGAACATATTTTTTTTTAATCATAAACGATCTAATTCTGACATAATGATATCCGGACATAATACATATTCTGATTGAATGAATATTTTGAAAAATTACAAAATTTTGAACCATGAGTTGAAGAATTATAACAAAAATTATATTAATTCTTATAGAATACGGGTACAATTACTAAAAATTACATTTATTGTTTAAGAATAAAACTAAAAAAACTTTCAAATCAGGAAAGAAAACATCAAAATCTAACAAAGATACTAATACAATCTAAAAGAATAATGTTGCTTAGAATCACTTTCAATTTTGTGGTCCGTTCTTCAGGCATCAACTTCTATGAAAACAAAACCAAATTGTAGTTTAGATCCAATAATGCATTAGCAATTGAAAAATAAAAAAACTAAATTGCTTTGGAAAATATGCGGACTTGTGAATTGCACAAAAACCAATAACCAAAAATCGTAGAACATGCATAAATCAGTGAGAAAATATACATATTCCATTCCAATAGAATTAAAATTTGTGATTCCATTCTAATAGAATTGGAATTCAAAGATTCAATTACAGAATCTGGAAAAAAAAATTAGAAACTGAAATAAATCAAGAGAATAAACTGAAATAAATCAAAGAAGTTGTACAAATTTTGCAACTTCTTATGATAGGAACACCATCTTCTCTCTAAATCACACGTTCTTCACATATTGCAGCTGCCACCTCAGCATACATTTTATGTTCCTAACAAACCATGTATTAAAGATTACAAAAAAGATTGCAAAAGGCACAAACTTGATTCCAATCAATGTAAAATTTACTACCTGGCGAAGAACCCTTGCAGCAAGTTCTTCAGCAGTGTAATTAATAACCACGGGAACAATTCTTTGGACAAGAATTTGATCCGTGTCATAGTTCTCATCAACAAAATGAATCGTGGGACCCAAATATCTTCTTAAATAATAGAAAAACAAAAACACATAAGAGATCATATGAGGCAGAATACAGCGAAAAGAAAGACTGTAAAGAGGTTAAGAACATTCATTACCTAGCTCCAGAAGCAATAATAGCTTTATGCACTTTCCTACCATAATACCCTTTGCCTGCAAAAGCAGGAACACCAAAATTTGTTGAAAATTATTCTTTGGCATTACATCAAACACTTGTAAGGCATACTGAAATGACCCTTACCATTTACCAATTTCCAATAATAAGAATTTTCCATATGAATTAAATCTTATTAACAATTACATATAAGATTGATAATGAAAAAAGGAACAACATTTATGGAAACCCGTTTGAATTTCAAATCAAAACTGAATGGAGAAATTGATTACGTATTGGAATCGATGAGAACGTGTATTTGTGAGAAAGAAGAAGAGAGACAGTGAGGGACATCATACCGTAGGGTTTTGGCGATGAAAATTCGAGCAGGTGGAAGAAAATTCGTTCCTTCTCTCTGTATTAAAGGCATCTCGCAGAATCCTTGCATAAACCATTGAGCTAATTGATTATTTGTGTTTCGATCTCCATCACTCTGACACCCAATTTCACCCACTATGATTCCGATATTTGTGAATCCATTCTTTTGTATGGCCCGGACGAGGGTATCGTAGTTGGCATCGAACATATTTGTGTAGGTGGTTCCGCCCTCGTTCACCAAAGTTGCGTTTCTGTCGAAGAACGGTTATTACATCGAAAAATTGGAGTCGATGTAGAGGCTTATGAAGGGGTAGTTGTTGACAGTGAATGGAGACCATTTTCGTTTAGGAATTTGGTGAGTTGGATCATCTAGTCTCGCAGAATCCTTCATCACACGTCGATTGAACGAGACTGGAGGGATATTGTGCATGTGGATGAAACAGGCAAAAGGGTTTTAAACAAAGTAATTGGCTAAATTAAAGGATAGATGGTTTAATTAATTATTTATTAAAATTAAATAATACTTCGTCCATATTAATCCCTACATCCATACAATATTTGTTAATCCACATTTGAACCTACCTCTCCTCACTCTTTCTCTCTCTCTCTCTCTCTATATATATATATATATATATATATATATATATACACACACACACACACACACACCCAAACATTCGTAAAAAAACCGAAAGTTTTAACAAAACTTCATTCTAACAAAAGTAATTACAAAAGTTATATGGATCTCTACTATAGAAGACAAAAACAATTTGAAATTTCATACATTTCTTTTTTAAATAAAATTTTAGGCAAAGAGACTTTAAACACAAAAAAAACAAAAAAATAAACAAAAAAATAAAAAATACAAAAACAAAACAAATACAAATTGAACTTGTTGTATAGCTCAAACCATGCTTGTCCAATTAGTTACTCTACATCCCATTTTTTACTAGTTAGATCGTTGGAATTTCGAAACTCACGATTTGTTTGATTTTGAGTTTTTTTAATTAAAACCAACCATATATATATATATATATATATATATATATATATATATATATATATATATATATATATATATATATATAAAAGTTCAACAATGAACCATTTTAAATCTTAGAATCTAGGAATCATTATATTTTAAAGTTTTCAAAGTTATTATTTATCAAAAAAAAAATCTAAAAAATCTAAATTCATAATTTCTTATTCTCTTTCCATAGATATCAAATTTGATAAATTGTTTTTTTTTTCATTTTTAGATATGTTCAGATTCATATTGTGAATTTGCACAAATTCAGAAGATTCACAGTGTGAGCCTCATTATATATATATATATATATATATATATATATATATATATATATATATATATATATATATATATATATATATAAGCTCTAAAAGTTGAGATAATATTGGTTCATTGGTTCTAAGGTTTAAAATGATTCATTTTTGTACCCTAGCATATATATATATATATATATATATATATATATATATATGTGTGTGTGTGTGTGTGTGTGCGTGTGTGTGTGTGTGCGTGTGTATATGTGTGTATACATATGTATGTATATGCAGATATAAACATGTGCATGTTTGTTCATGGTTACTGCATATGAAAAATAATATGATTTTTTATCAGTTAATTTTGATAATTACATAAGCTAATGTGATATAATCCATGAAATGTTTACCTAATGTGCTATAATCCATGATAAGTTAGTTGATAATTACAACTAGGTTATTTTTATAACCAAATAATAATGATAATAAAAGAGTGCTATGATAACTTTATAATTGTTAAGTTTTCAATTTGTACATAGATTGAATATAGTATGTATTAAATAATAAATGAATATATGAGCAGTTCTATATGAACTGAAAGTAAAGGATTTAAATAACAAAGCTAGGATCAAGAGTAAAGAACAAATGGAATGATGTAGTTACACACCTTTGATAGGTTTTATTGGTTAAAAAAATGTAGCGGAAAAAATTAACCCTATGTAATTATTTGCAAAAAAACAATTAATAATCAAGATCCCTAGGAGTGGCCTACTAATTTCGACAATTAAGGTTACATACATTTTGATTATTGTAGCAAATAATGGTTTGTACCCAAACGCTACTAATAGAAGACTTGAGAGGAGATAGGAGATGGAATGGAAATTTTCGACTCTAAGGATCTTAGAGGAGTGGCAGAAAATTCTGAGGCTCCTAAGAGGTATTCATAGGTGACTAAGCCTTCCTTTGTTGATTTTTTTTAGCATTACCACCTTTAGTCCTTATAATTTTAAATAACGCAATTAATCCCAAAATTAATTTAATTTAATGTTTGATTAACTATTAATTAAATAATATTATTTCTAATTAATATATTATTCTCATAATATATTAATAAACTATTTATAGATATTTGTTAATCTTATAAAAACCTATATTTCAACCTCCCTCTTAATATGTCATTCTTTCAATTACTAGTTTTGAGGGAAACCGAAAAGCACTTTGCTTTTAATTCAAGTATTATAACATTCCGTTTAAAATTAATTACTTTAATAATAAACCCTCAACCCAAAAATTTAATTTATATTTTATAGTAGCCCTAAAAATCCATAATATATAGCGAGGTGTTGGTTTCGGGGAGCCAAATGACATGATTTGGATTCTCGGGGGTTCAAGTGTAATTCTGGGATTTATTTTGTAAAGATTTCCAGAAGTCAGGGGGTGTTTGGTAAAATGGTGGACTTAAATTGAATAGATTTTTGAATGCTAGGGGATGATTGGTAATTTTGGGACTTATTATGAAAGTACTTTTGGAGATACGGGCTAAAGAGTAAAATATGGACTTGGATTGAAAATAGTTGAGGGGGGAGGGGCCGGAAGTGTCAAAACGATACGAACTTAAAGACATCTTCCAACCATCATCTATGCTAACGCTAACCCTAAAGACATCTTCTAACCACCATCCTTATATCCCCTATCCCCGTCGGCGACGCCACCCCCTGCTGTCGAAGTTGCAACAACCAATAAATGCCACTGTGTTTGCTTCCGGCGATTGAGGGTTTAATGATTCAGAAATCTTGGATGACGGGGTTGTTGGAGGTTGAAAGAGCGAAGTCGTGGCCGTTGTTTCCGTTATCTCTGATTGGATACCGAGCACCTCCCTCTTCTTCATCTCTTTCTGACGATGCGTCGTTGTCATCGCCACTCCGAGCGGTTGAAGAGTGTTACTGCCGCCGTCACCTCGATGGTGGCTGAGATGGGTAAGTATTTTGCAAGAATTCGAGTATTTGTATGTGTGTGTGTGTGCGTGTTGCTGCTACAATTGATAAATGTGTGTTTGGTCGCTTGTTGGCCGGAAACTGAGAAGATAACCAACATGGCTGCCATCCACGGTGGTTGCCATCTTCTACCACATCTTTGCCGCCACCAGCCACCGTGGGAGGGTGGTTGGGTGTGTGTCACTTATTTCATGGGTTAATGTTGTATAGATCTTTGCTTGGCCAGGGAACCAAAGAAAATTCACGACCACCACTGTTAGGTGGTGGCCGCCACCTTTGGTCGCCGTTCCGCCACTGCTAGCCACCATCTCCGGTGGTTGTGGGCTTCCGGGTGCGTTTGGATTTATATTTGGAGTGTTATTGGTGTTCTATTAGCCAAAGATCATAACCACCACCACCACGAGGTGGTGGCTACCTCCGTGAACCACCGCCAACCACCACTACCCGAGGTGGAAGTGGGTGGTACCTGACTTGATTAGACTTTAATTAATGTAAAAATGTAACTATTGGATTAATTGATTTGTGATTTGGTTTGAAACCCTAATTAGGGTTTAGCAAACCCTAATTTTTGGGAATGTGAGTTTTGGATTTTTCTGGACCCGCGTTAGACCATTGGATTTGGAATTTTGACGGATGCCCAACCACATTATATGTTTGGTCTAGTGGACTGATGGACTTAATGGATTAAGTCCTTAATGGGTTAAGTAAGGAGACTTAACCTTAATCATCATTATATGTGAAAAACCCTAATTAGTTTTGGGTTCTTGTTGGGCCATATCTTGGACTAAGTTGTTGTGGGCCTTCATGAGCCAACTGGGAACACGTTTATGGACTAAAGAAATTATTGGTCTTTAAGGATAAGGCTCATTGGAAAGTCTTGGGCCTAATTTGGAAAATTGGGCCATAAGTGGGCCATAATTGGGCCTTGATGATTATGAGATATATGACCATTAGAATGCCAAGTGTTTGGACTAGAATAAATGGTTGGGGCTTAAGGTAAGACCATGTAGAGGTTTCGACCCAAATTGGAAAATTAGGCCATATGTTGGGCTTTGGGTCATTGTATGACTTTTGGGCCTTCGGAGTGTGTGTTTGGACCTTGGGCATGGATGAAGCTAGGTTGGGGGTAAAGTATTCTTTTACAGCAAGCATGGACTTATGGTTATGTATTGGAACCCAATTATTAATTGGGTGTTGTTTTGATGTTGACAGGTCAGGAATCTATCAAGCAACAGCTGGAGTTTTATCTGCAGGTCTTCAACATTGCGAGGTGAGTCTCCTCACCATACGAATGGGTCGAAGGCACCAAGGCCGACCCATTTTGTGATATGTGGTACATTAGTTGATGTAGTGATATGTGGTATATTAGTTGGTTATATTATATATGGTATGTTAGTTGTTATGTGATATTTGCATGTAAAACCATAGGGGGAGCCGATGACACTTGGGTATAAGACCATGTAGGGGAGCCCATGGCTTTTAGGTAAAGACAATGGGGGAGCCCATGGAACATGGATGTCAGACCATGTGGGGGAGCCCATGGCATCCTAGAGTAAGACCCTAGGAAGAGCCCACAACATCCTTATATGCTTATGTGATTGATATGGCCTATGTGATGGATATGGGTATATATGGTTGAGATGGCCTATGTGATTGATATGGTTTATGCGGTTATGTGGATTGTGCGGCTTATGTGGGGTAGCTCTGGGGATCTCACTAAGCTTCATGCTTACAGTTTTGTTCAGGTATCATTGGTTTAGAAAGGAAATGCCCAACTTGATCGCAGCGCAAACATCCGTGTTTTCTGCTTTATGTGATTTTGAGACGTAACTCTGATAAACGTTATAATTAAGCAATGTTTTGAATGATTGGATGAAGTAACATTTGTGGTTGACTATAATGAAAAATGAAATTTTTACCCTTGATCTTT